TCCTCCTCCCTTCTCTTGCTCTTCTTCCTCCTCACAGCTCTTCCTGTCCGACCTCTGACCTCATATGACCTCATGTTGACCTCTGGGCCTCCTCTTCTCTTGTCATCTTATTTTCCCGCGCTCCTCCCTCGTTCAGTCGAGTGGGGACCCTCTCCTCCTCTTTAAAACAGCTCTGTGTGTGTACTACAGTTTGTGCATGTGCATGCTGCATGCTTTGCTGTTCCAATATCTGTGTGTGTTTGTGCATGTGTGCACGTGTGTGTGTGTTTCAGACTTAATTTATTCAAAGTAAGTCAAGTAAAAATGACGTCACATAGCCGAGCTTGAAATTTATTCATACGTTTTCTAGTTTTCTTCCAAGATTATAGAGAGTAAGTTCAATATTTTAGTTACACAAAAATATTTTAAAATTCATTTTAACCCCAACACAAGATGGCCATTTGTACAGGTGTGCGTGGGTGTGTGTGTTTGTTTCTTGAACAGAATAATGTTTGCTGTTTGTGACATCGTTTATGTGCATGGCATGCTTTCAATGTATGACGTTTTCTTCACAGTGTAAAATATTTTCTCTGTTCATGGATGTATTTCAGTCTTTCATTTAATGCTATATTAACAAACAAATGTTTTCTTTTTCTTTTTCCTGTAAAATAAATGGTGTGTGTGTTTTTAATGCTACGCTATAACACATGGTCAGCTGCATAGCACATAATGCTCAACATACAATGTTGCTGTGGTGGTCTTCATTCATGGGCAAAATAATCACATGTTTGGTAAGTTACAGTTTGAGTGGTTTAACACTTAACCATTGTGTAATTGTTTTGGCAGTTACTATATGTAAAATTAAAAGAGCTAAATCCAGTAACCAGTGAAAAAAAATGCCATGAATTATCTATAACTAAATTTTCTATGCAGTATTTTTTTTGCCCAAGTCTGATGATGGCCTTGCTGCTAACATTGTGTGAACATTATTTGCCAGCAGGGATTTTACTGTGAGGTGTGTGTTGATTCTGGTGTGTATGGTTTTTTTGTACATCCGAGCCTCACCTGTGAGCTAAAAGTGTGTGTCCTCCTTGTGTGTTTTTAAATGAATGCAGTGTTATGCGTTTATACATGTATGTGTGCGTGTGAGTGTGTGTTTGCTGTGGTAAAGTGTGCTGTGTAGTGCTCCTCTCTTCTGTTTCTTGTACCATGAGATTCTCTGTGGAGTTTATTTGTGCTTCACTACATTTTGTGCCTTTGACACCTGTGTGAGCGTGTCTGTGTTTCAGCAGCAGGAGTGAAGGGAAGGGCTAACCCACATTCATCTAACTCATTCTAGCTCTCATTCTAATTTTGATTCATTCCCTCCTTGCTCACCTCATTCTGATGCCACCTCTGATCATCCTGGCCCTGTACCATCCCAGAAACACACACATGTGTACCCACACAATGGACCATTGTTGCATAAACTCTGAGAGACAATTACTTTACACAGTAAAGGTGTATTTTACCCATTACAGTGTTGTGGATCACATCAGAAAAGGTTTAGATTTTTAGCTCCATAGATGTGCGTACTGTGATAATTAGTATTAGTGTGTCGTTGAAATATACAGAAGTAGTTTTAGTGATAGTACAACAAGGTAGAATTGCTATGTTGCTTTACTCAGTCATTTTTTGCCCATAGCCTCATTACTACATTAAATTATGGTTAAATGAACAAAAGTAGCGGTGCATGAAGGTCTAAGAAACTTTCTGTGGTAACTTTCAGCTACGTCTCACTTTAAACTGTGTTTTGTTTCCACAGATGAACGTCAGAGCATTTTCCATTTAGTACCAAGAGATATCAGGATGCCTTCTTGGTGGGCATAAATTCATGACTGATTCTGTTAAAAGTGTATTTAAAAAGATATTACACATTAAATGCTAATAGGGTTTACACACTTTTTTGTATTTAGTTCATGTGTACTGTCCCTGATGCCAGGATATAGTGAGGATCAGGACAGGAATTAACATGTTTCATTGCACAAAGACATTTGAACTAAAAGTATTATTTTGAGTTTAACCTCATACTATACTCATTCTGTGGTTTGTCTATTCGGCCCGCAACCTCACATTACAGCACAGCCTCTACTTTGTGCTTTACAGTGGTTTATCATTGTGATCTGTCAGTGTGCCGTTCTTTGTTTCATATGGGTGAAATACAACTTTACTGTTAAGTCTCTATTCATCTGAACTCACTGACACACTAGTTTATTTTAAAATATTTTGTTAACGGAATTAACTAATCCAGATTTGCGTCAAAATGTAAGTGTTACCATGTTCAAGTATCACCAAATATCAACATATGGGTTATAAGCTTCGAATTAATTTGAGTTAAATGAAATGTGAAAAATATGAATAAGTTTACATTCAGAATGTTTTACTTTTATGCAAGTTTATTTTTAGATATTATTAGTAGTAGTAGTATAAAGTAAATGTAAAAATAGTTTTAAAAAATAAACAATGAAAAAAGACATTAAAATGCCACTTCCTCAAAATATATTTTTAAATGTATATTTAATAATTTTTTAATTATTTATCATAGAAAATAAAACAAGCTTTGAAACGAAAATCTCATTATGTCAAATCTCAATGAGATTACATAAAGATTCTAACAAAATTTGAATTTTCTTTTTAAAATATGTATGATATAAATTAGAACCAACTACAGTGTGTGATTGTGAATTTGACTGTGTGCTTTTGTGCGTCTTTTTTGTGTTTCTCTAATCCTGCCACACAGAATTTACTGTCAAGCAGTCCAACAAGCTGCATAACAAGTGTCATCCTGGAACTAATAATAGAAATGTGTAAACCAATCTAATTGGATCTAATATAATCAACGACTTATGATTTAGCAGGATAAGATTAAACAACACATTATGCAGGGATTCTATTTTTTTTTAAGTTACCCTTAAATTAAAAATTGTGTGTGTCTTTGTGTGTGTGTGTGTGTGTGTGTGTGTGTGTGTGTGTGTGTCTGTGTGCGCGCGTGTGTGTGTGTGTGTGTCTGTGTGTGTGTGTGCATGTGACTTGTTTTATTTGTTTATTTTTCTGAGTGGGTGCTGGGCAGGGGATCTTTGGCGTACAGACACATGAATGCATGACTCTGATGTGCAGCTGCAGTCGGGGAGAATGCGGCAGTAACTTGCATTTTCTTCTCCAGAATCTGCAAGATGCTGCTGACTCCCCCGCAGAGACTTGTGACAAGGGTTGGAACGATAAGCAATGTTTTATTACATGTTTGGCAATTGTATCACAGCTGCTACTTTAGCACCGAAAACGAAATTCGTGCAATCCTCTATGTGGAAAATCCAGGCTTTACCTCAACTAAACCTACCTTAAAAAAAAATTATAATAAAATGTTGATGTAAAGCAAAAAAGGATGAACATTTATACTAATGAGTCCTTCAGACAAATATTACTCAAACGGAATGAGAGTAAAGCCTTAAATTATTAAAAAATATCGTGCCAACCCCACAATCAATTAAAGAACCCTACACTCATCTTTCTTTTCTCGTATCGAGGAACAGTTTCTGTTCTGCAGATTCACTTTCCGAAAGTGGGAGCAAGCTAGAGCCCAGCATCACTCACCTCACAAACAATGGATGACTCACCAAATTCTTTTATCTCTCACCTCACAAATTGCTGTGTCCCAATGACAGTTACCTGAATAGCTCTGCAAACTTGAAAAAAAAATGTTTATTCGATTAGCCAAAGTAAGAGTTTTGAGTAATATCATTGTGTTCTGCCTTTTAGATTGAAAGCGTGAAAGCAACATGTTGGCTGGGATTAACTGAGAGTCAAGTCTTTGAGTCAGAATTACTGGCTTAGCATCAAGGCATCTTAATCCTAAATTAGAATTCTAAATTGTGATTGATAAGTAATTGATTAAGAGAAAGTCTTTTGTCTTGGTATATTGGGACAGAGCTGAGCCCCACTGTTTCGCTGGTAGGTTGGAGAAACAGTTGTCCCACCACCTCCCCACCCTCTCAGTGGCTGTGCCTGCTTGGTGTTAGTCTATCTCTTGTCTCGCTCCTGTTTTCCCTCCAGGTTATGGGCTGGTGCAGGAGGAGCTTCTGTCCCCGGCCTCCATGCAGTACAGCTTGCCATCTCCACTGGGCGTGGAGCCCTACTGGCAAGAGGTCTCCAGCCTCGAGTGCGCCCCTATTGCCACCACAGAGGAAGATACATTAATGGAGATGTCGGACGTTCAGGTGTGGCCAGCAGGGGTCAGCCCCTCTCTGGTTACAGTGGAGGACTCGTCACTAGAGGGCAGCAGTCGGGCTGACGACTCAGAGGGCGCCACACTCTCCTTACCCTGCAGCTTGGGTCGCCCAAGCAGTGGAGCCAGCGGGGCCAGCGGCTCCATCATGGAGCTGGAGGAAGAGGAGGAGGAGGAGGAGGAGGAAGGGGAGGTTGAGGAGGAGGAGGCACCACAGGAGCCAGCAAGTGCACTGGCGGAAAGGGACAGGGTGAGAGCCAGTGGTGCCGTTCCCAAGGTCAATCTAAATGGCCAGCTGGGAGGTCAGAGGTCAGACGTGAGGAGAGTGGAGAGTGTGGCTGTAGGAGGAGGAACAAAAGGAGGAGGTGGAATGGTAGGGCTGGGCTCAGTGGAAGGGATTTCTGTTGTTTCAGGCCAACAGGTGTACTCCCAGAGGTGTGAGATAACGGGGCTGGGTCGAGCTACAGAGCACAACGGAGACAACCGGTAAGTCAACTGTGTGTGATCGCCATCACTCTATATATGTTTCTTTTCCACTGCCTGTACTCAGAATTAACATATCTGCTTTCTTTGTTTCCCTTTCCTCTGGTCTATTCGCATTCTGCTTTTCAGGATGGTGGGAGGAGGAGCATTTCAACCCTACATGCCAGACAAGGACTCCCTACAAGGCTGGGTGGGCTCGGTGTCATCAACGCGTGACGGCAGCATGCCAGGCTTGCACGTGGCCCAGGAGGCTCTGCTGACTCCGGTGTGTGACACTGGTTACTCTCATGTGCTGCGTGGGCGCCTCCTGCAGGGCACGCAGCCCTTTGACAAGGGGCTGGGCTTCTCTCATCAGGAGGCAGGCCAGCGAGCTTGGGAACAGAAGCAGAGGCGGGGACAGGTCAGGTTGCAACGCCGACCACCTGCCGCTCCCTGCGCCTGGAGGGGGAACATTTTTCCATGTTTTCTTTTTTTAATGATCAACCGGGAAGATCGTCATTCAGTTTGATTTTTCAAAAAAAAAATCATCAACCGCTTAATCTCGCTGAACGATCATCAGAACAGATGATTGACCACAATCAGTCACAGAACCAGAGCAGAATGATGTGTTGCACAGCTCAACACATCCGATTAAAAGCTGCCCATTGATATGATTTAACATTTGTGATTGAGAACACCTTGTTAAGAATTAGAAATGGATTTTATAAATATATATAAATTGTGGCCCTTTTTTTTCTTAACAGAGAGAGGAGAAGGAGGAGTATGTTGCTGAGGCACAGTTTGTTGAAGAACGTGGAAATGTACTTGCTAGAAAGGTGAGTCACTTTGTGGGTATTTTTCATTTGCAGTGAATCATGGTCATACCAACATTATAATTGTTGTGTATTTGTTATGAGTTTTGTGTAATTTTATTTATTCACTTATTTTGAATTCAGCTTTCATGGTGGATTTGCTCATTTCAGTCTAGTTTTGATTGTTCAGTTGCTTTTTTTGAGTTTACTTATTTTTCATGGTGACATTTGGGTGCTTGTCATGGGCAAAATGTAAGTAATTCCAAGAGGCATTACAATGCAAAACCTTGACTCACAGCAGTGAAATGTCTTTGTGCACATTGCGTTGACATGAATGCGTTTGACCAAACTGACAAATACTAAAACATTTGCCAAAAGTCTTTGGCTGCACAAAGGGAAGGATTGTGACTCTGCAACCAGTGCAGATGTGCTTGCCTGCAAAGCTTGGAAATTCAACAGCACATAGCCTGCCGGACTTTCTGAAAAGTTGCACAGGGAAGTTGCAAAGGAGTTCACTATGAACAGGAAGAATTGGATAAGTATAGTGAAAGATCAGAAAAGCAGCAAATGAAGTTGGACATAAAGGGATGGAGGTGGTCATCAACTATACTAGGTAGGCTGTTGCTCAGTCAGTATTCACAGGCTGAAGGTGTCCAAAGAAAATATCCCCGCACCATTAGACCATCGACTCAAACCTGAACCACTGATGTATGGCAGGATGGAGCCATGCTTTCACGTTATTTGCATAAAATGTGGTCCCTGCCATTTTTATCTTGTGGTCGAAAGACTTATGAGACCAGACAACATTTTTCCAATGTTCTTTCATCCAGTTTTGGTGAGCCTGCAAAGACTGTAGCGTCAGAAGTTAGCTGCTGTAAGTTTGAAGGACTCTGGCCATTCAGGCCATTGGAATGGGACAATCATCGCTCTATTCTATTATTTTTTTTTAATTGAATTTATTTATTTTCTGTATATTTTCAGTTCTAGTTCATTTTGTAAAAATTTGCACTTGTTTTAGTTTTAATTTGAACTTTAGTTGAAACCTTCTTCACACCTACTTTCAGTTTTAGTTAACACTGATAACCTTTTGTCACACCCAAGCACTGCAAACCAGGTGCTTTTTACTGTGAGTTATTCACAGAGCCTGGCCAACAGGGTGGGAAATTAACAGCAGCCACAAGGCAAATGTTGACAGCAGATATGACCTTAAACCAATTATGATTCAGAGATCATCGTAAAAAAAAAGCTTTTTAAAAATGACATTAGAAAAACGGGCATTTGTATGCCATGAAATCTTTTGTGACTGATTGGCTGATTAACTGTGAAATGATGTAAATTTGTGGGCAGACAAGTTAGTTTCCTGCTCTGGTTTCACATGGAGGCTTCAGCCGTTAACTGGTCCAAGTGTTGTTTCCTTCCTTCCTTCCTTCCTCCCTGCCTCCTTGCTCCAGGTGGCGGTGGATGTGAGAAAGGGCGCTCAGTCAGTGCAGCGCAGCAGTCTGCGGAGAGTTAAACACTGAAATACACTTTCTGCCCAGCCCTTCAGGTATGGGACACAAGCACTAGTGCATCCCAGTGCTTGGATAGATGCCTTCTACGGCACCCTGTTGGAGCCTGTTAGAGCCTAATCATCTCTCATACGTCGTTTTGTCTCATTCGTTAAACTTTGGCAGTGATTTTATAGAAGCTAAGACTAATTTAGCCCATGTGATGCATATCTACTGGTGTACTCCTTGTCTCTGTTTTGTAGGACCGGAAAGCCACTGCCAAACCATCCTCCACGAAAACACGACCGGACCGCAGAGGAAAATGAGCATGGAGGAAGTGCAGACTATTAAAAAAAACAAAAAAAACAAACAGAATCATCCTCAACCTGTGACCATGGAGCACCACAAAACAAAATAGAAGAGGAGAAAAAAAAACAGGAATTAAACTTGTAGTTTTATAATATTTGTAAAGAAAAATATCAACTAGACTAAGGCATGACGATACCGTTTCTTTTTCTTTTTTATACAAAAAAACATAAATGTTAGTTAAACAACTAAGAAAAAAAAGCAACAAAGTGCTTCCTGTGAACTGTAATCGCATGATGACTGCTGGTGCATGCCCTTTTGAACTGTCATTATCTACAAACTGAAGGGGTACTAGGTACGGGGGCGGACCCACGTAAGGGTTACAGGCTTTTTTTAAGGGCCTTCTTTCCCCCAACTGGAGTGGTTTGTTTCAGCAAGTTGAGTCCAATAACACTACAGCCAAAAAAAAGAAGTCCCTCAATGGATGGTTCTCTATACAGCTAAGCCTCTGCTGAGCCTCCCAGCGCTTCTTTCACTGGACCCTTTGCCCTGTTATTCTAAATGTGATATATGCACTCTATGCTACGTGGACATGTGTCAGTGTGTGTATGTGTGTGTGCGTGTATTTTTCTCTACCGCATGTGTTTCTTGCTTCCGGCTTGGCGCTGAGCCCTTCCCCATGATTGGCTTGTTGTCCCTGTAATGTCACGGCGTGCTCAGCGCTGGAATGAGAAAGCCGCCGTGCTGCCCTGCTCGTGACTTCTTGTCTGCGTGCGTTTTTTTACATTTTTAATTTTTTTTCCTTTGTGGATGAAGATCGTTCCTCGTTGTTTCTTTGGAACTCGTCCACTTTGGGTTTCAGCTTTGTTTGACTGCGGATGAGAAATGAACCTCTAGCTCCCCTCGTGTTTTCAGGGGGAATGTTTTCAGACAGCGGGAATGTTTTCTTTGGAAAAAGCGTGGGTGCTCGATTGCATTGTACAGCAGCTCTGAGGGCACAAAGCTTGACTTTCTATTCCCTCAAACTTTTCTGTGCTCTTCTATTACTTTTTTTGTTTTCTTTTTTTTCTCCAGTAGCATACTTTACCTTCACCCATAATCTATCAGTAGCCTCAGTCTATATGCAGTCAAATCACAGTCCTCTCCCATCAGCATCTAAAGGTCCTCCAAACCCTCTGTGCTCCCTCTTTTATCTGCTTCCAGTGGCTGTAGCGCATCACTGTTGAATTTTTGAGTCAATATTTCAAATTGTGGTGAAGAAAACATGAAGGATCTCATTCGTGTGACGATGCCGTGATTTGAGGAGTGAAATGGCAGCGAGGACAGACAGGCAGCACTGTGATCGTCTTATTAACACTGACCCCAGACTCGTGAACTGTCAAGACCCACATTCATATACAGCACAGGCAAAAGCACAGAAACATATATGAACACATTTCCAGAAACACACAAACATAGATCACACGGTTAAATAATTATTGCCTGGTCAGTGTTGTTGTTTTTTTTTCTTGTTTTCTTTGGAGTTTGCCACAGCAATAATACACAGAAACAAAAAAAACATGAAGATGGAACGGCAACTGTAAAAGACTGGTTTCCTCAGAGAAGACACAAACTGTATCTGGATGAACAGCATTTGGCATTGAAGCTCGCCCTTGAAGTGAGTGAGTCAGGACGTACTGATGCAAGATGAGATGACTCAGCTGTAGCAGTGAGAGACCTTGGAGGCCGGAGAGTGTTTGTGTTTCAGCACTTAACGTAGCAAAATATAAACCAGGATATCTTCATTTAATATCTGTTAAGAAGCTTGCTGCTGCCATGAGGTGGAATCCACCGAACTCCGTTTTCCTTCTTTTTTTTTCCTGGATAATTCAGCTTGTGTTTCTGTAAATCATCAGCTCATCACCTCTGAAACACTTTATGCAGAAACTGGTTGGCAGCAGTATGAAGGAGTTACATCATAGTAGCACGCATTTCCTTAAAATCACCTATATCTCCCATAAGTACTGTAAATGCTACTGTAGCCTGAATGAGTGAGACCGGATGAATGATCACATTGGTTATACATCACGCAAATGCACTTACTTTCCACGCCCAGTCCATGCACGAGAACCTCATGGGATAATAGCACGTTTTCCACTGTTACTTCACTCAGGTTTTCAGTTCTGCTCTATCAGAAAGAACAAAAGATGTTTGTTTCTAAGTTCTGAGTCATCCTCTCAAAATCAAATGTGGGACACAAGTGAGCGATTTAGAGTTTTCTGTTGGGGCTGTTTGAGGTGGGATGGTGATGCGTGGGCTTTTTTTGGTTTGGTTTGGTTTTTTCCTTTTTCTTGGTGGAGCAGGGTGGTTTGGTGAAAGTGTGTGTGTATGTGTGTAGTTTAGTTGTGTGATTCAGATTAGACCAAAAAACACTGAGTGTGAGGTCAGTGCCAGCATGTCTCCTTAACCTCGCTGGTGCGCTGCTGCTGCTGCTGTGACACCACTGTTGGTTATTTTTGTCTTTACTCATTTTTTGTTTGTTGGTTGGTTGTTTTTTTTTGTCACACATTGAAAAAAAAGCCAAATAAATTTTGTTGAAGCACAGGCAAAAGATTTTCCTTTCACCAGATAAATATAAACAATTATCTTCTCATATGTATAACTTCAATTGTCAATTCACGTTATTGTGTAATCTTACCTAATCGGCCATTATGCTGAAGATAAAGTCAACAAATGACAAACAAGACGCCCACTCGACTTCACAGCTCCCACAATCACTCTGTTAGTCTTTAAGACTTTTACTGTATCAGCACAAGAATGGGGGTTGGATCCAGACATGTGTTGAGGTTTTAATCCTTAAGATGAATACTCTATAAAATGTATTTTAATGCTGTTAAAGGTCAGAGGTTTTTCAATTTGCATCCCTTAGTAGAGTAGTTTTATTATCAACAGCAAGAAACTGGTTCATGAAAAAATTGTGTGACCGTAGTGGATGTAAAATGGTGGATTCATGCAACAGTCCTAAAGTTTAGTGCTAATCCCATGATTTTGTTGGAGCTCTGATTGAACTGTTGCTTTTCTTTTGGATGTGAAGAAACTTTGGAAAAAACGTTTGCACTGAACTGATATACTAAATTTTTGAAGTGACTGCAAATCTGGTCACTGACATTTTATAAAAATTTGGCCATAGCTCCCATAATCTCACAGTATGTCTCACCCACTGATTTGTAGAGACCCACTTTGAAGCTTCAATTTCAGCATTTTGGTTGTTAATTTGTGTTTCCTTGGAACCAGATGGCACAAGCAAGGTTTGGATCTGGCAGGAAAAACCAAGGGACACTGCACACTTTATCATTTATTTGAATAAAAATGAGGCTATAATTTACAAAGTGGATATCCTATTTTATAAAATAATACTTTAAACTAGCAATATAGATCATTAAATCAACAGATTTTCTTTTAACTGAGGCATTAAAGCAAATGAGAAGTGGGGTCATTTGTCCAAACACTTTGATACAATTTGACTTCCAACGCCCCCTGCTGGCCATTTTAAAGAATGCAGGTTTAAGGCACTGGCTCGCATGCAGAAACTATTTCTATCTTGTTACATGTACAAGATTCAAACATGTAATTAGAACGAAATAATTTCATGTTTCTATGGTGAACGTAATTAAATCATGTAGCATCTGCATAAAATTCAGCAACTTAATTTGTTCTTGTTGAGATGACATCATACAATCTAGTAAGAGTGATTAGTTGCCTGGACTCACAAAATTCTCAAGATCACATTAGATGTCAAACTGTAGGGGAAAAAACCCTGGAGTTTTAAGAGGCAGACAACTACACCCACACCACGTGTATGCTATCGCTATTTATTGTGGTTTAACCTGTCAAGAACAAAAACGTACAGAATATTGAATAAGCCTGGATTGACAGGTTGGTGGTGTGATGGTTAGTGCTGTTGCCTCACAGCAAGAAGAGCTTGGGTTCAAATCCTCAATCTGTCTGGTTTGCAGTGTGTAATTAGAGTTAGGTTAATTGGTGATTCTAAATTACCCATGAATGTAAGTGCAAATGATTGTTTGTCTCTATGAAATCATCAACCCCCATACTGGTTCATTAAGCAAGACTAGCAGTAATTGGCTTGACTAACAAAGTAGTTGTTCAAACAACAAGATTTCATTGTTGTTTGAACATGTTGCTAGACAAGTTAAAATTTTAACTTGTGTAGCATGAATTAAAACAAATTTCACTCTACATATTTAAATAAATCACTTCAAGTCAAGCATACTACGTTGATCCAACGTAATCCAATTACATTAAACCACCAAATGCCAAATGTGTTGGTTTGACATGGTCAAAAATAGGTTATTGTACTTGGTTAAATCACGTGGAAATAGGTGCCATGATTAAAATGTGTTCATCCAACAACAGATTTTTTTTGAGTGTAGTCAGTACTCTTATAACATGCTTACTTCCCCCAGAGGCATCAACCAGGACTAAAATCTTAAGGATCATAACTTTGACTTTAAGGAGCTGTCTTCCTGCTTGGCTTCCTGCTTAGTCACATTTGAAATCCTGAAAAAAAGTCTCCACAAAGCAAAATGATGTATGAAGCAGTTTAATTATGTTTCCATACATAGATAATTTGGATTTGCCGTCTGAATTAAACTTGTCTGTGATCCTGTGCACTCCCCCAGTGTTTGTATGTACAGTATGCGAGTGTGTGTG